TTTATTCTAGTATCACTTCACTGCTGGCTGAAGATTATCACAAAAGCAGCTTGAAGAGTTCTCCCAGTCAGTCACCTAATCGATTTTCTCCAGTGGTGCCGCAAATAGCCTCTATACCGTCCTCGGGGATCAGATACTGCCCTCCAATTACATCGGAAGATCGACTGTATTCGGAGAGTGTTGATCGGCTGAGATCAATAGAACTGTCGGTAAGTTGCATGGTTATTTTATTTCGCATTTATACTTAAAGGTTTTGTACGACTGAATGTGTTGCTGCTTTACAAAACAAAATATGAAAATGTCTTGTACTTGGCATACTATATGGTAGGCCTGCGTAACACTGTGTTGAGTTGCGCTTTTGAGTTGATGTAGCTCTGTGAGTTGGTGAGTTATAACCTATTGCGCCTCATTGCGCCGCACCTCGAATTGAGCCCGTGGCCGCACCAACTCTGGTTGCAACAATCTTCACATTTAACGTGGCAGAACATTAAGATTCAATATGGCAGACTTCGGATTGCAACTAGTTCGTGCTCAAGTTACTTATCTACTAATAAATTCTTATTAATTTCAAATCGCGAATCCTCAAATTAATGCAGTGTTGGCACAAAATGAATCACTAGATGTAAACACTAACGTCCACAAAACAAGTGTCAAATTACTACTTAACTTGTAGTTATAATTTTAGCTACCGGGGGCGACTGCACTTTTGAACTCGCGAATACCAAATGGCTGCCCTTTACCTTGTAATTAATATTTTAATTTGTTAATAAAAAGTTAATTTTATGCAATAAAATTATTTGCGAAAACGTCCCGTTTCATTGCCGGGCCCTGTACGTATTTGTCAATTTCAGATTTTCCTTTTCCTGTCTTTTTCGTGTCCTGATTCCTGATTCGCGCATCATCAACATCATCATCAAGCGACCAGTTGCGTCCATTGCTGGACATAGGTCTCCCGTAGCTTGTTCCATCCTGGCCGATCCTGTGCTGCCTCTATCCAGTTGGTCTTTATACTTTTGATGTCGTCGGTCCATCTGGTTGATGGACGGCCTCTACTCCTGTATGCGTCATGGCGCGGTCTCCACTCAATTATCCTTTTTGTCCAGCGATTGTCCGTAAGTCGCGCCACATGACCGG